ATCTATACAAATTGAACGAGAAAGGTCATCTTGAGACTATGGCCACCTTCCATGATAAATTAGATTCCTGTAGAATAATGATCGTTGTTTTGAAAAAGTTAGGTTATTTGAACTAACTACTTTGCAGTCTGATAAATGTAACATTTAGTACTGTTGAATTTTTTGAACTGGATGAGCTCTACAGTGAAGATATCATTGTCCTTCAGGATAGGTTTGTTTAAAATATAATCTTATAATTCTGATTAAACTGGTAATAAACTCTTCATAATTGAATAATCTAGCTGCAGCGATTTAGAATTACCAAATGTATCGATTCAAGCTTTAAATGGTGTTTAGTGCACTTTTTATACATTCTCCTATCCTTATTACTATTATTATTATCATTTTAACTGAAATCACAAGTGTTAGATGTAACAAGAAGGTTAAAAGCTTACTTGGTGTGTGCATAAAAGTGTTTAAGTTAATCAAGAGAAACAATGGATCATTTAAATTCATCTCATAGCAAACTAGAGCCCATCAAATGCAGAAAACCGTAACATCTAAACCATAATAATTTTAGTTAATTTAAACCTCCAAAAGCTATTAAGCGCACTTGTAGCAACTCATAATTAAGTATAACATATTCTAGTGTGAAAAGAACTTCATTGAACTCGATGTGACAAAAGAGTTTAAAACTAACAGATCATTCTCAAGTCTTTAAAAAAATTGTTATCTTTACGGTTGGTCTTTCATTATGAAATTCACACAGACTTGAAATGCAGAAGTTACTGTAGAAATAATATATAATTTAAATACGTATCTTATTCAAATAAACCTTCAGTTAAGATGTTAAAACTTTGACAGTAACCAACTAATATCAAGCAAAGTAATGTACAGTTACCTAAACTAGCGATTGGATTGACATTTGATCGAAAAAAAATACTTGATCGGTACTCTGGATCAGATAACATGACATTGGTTTATATAAAGTAGTTATTTTTTTAAAAAAAAATTATGTAAATTTTTATCCATATAGAACGAATATTTAAACTGAAACGACCTTCATTTATTCATGGTAGGTTTATAAGTCAGTTTTCTTTCTCAATATTAATCTATGCTCCTTTACTATTTAGATGTCTACTGATAACTTATGATCTCTAGTTATTCTGATGTTTCACATATCGTCATGCATATGATTTTACAAACAAAACACTTGAGAGAAGGAAAAAAATAAACGAATTCTAAAATAAACAAAATCTATTTGTGAATGAAGTTAGATAATTAGAAAAACGATTCAAAAAAAAATATTTTTTTTATGTTCTAGGTAACACCAGTTTGTCTTTCGATTATTGATTTAACTTATGTACGTAATGTTTTAGCATGAATGAAGTATCACAGGTTGATGTATAAAATTACAATTATATGAGATATTTTGATGGATTATTTCAAGAGTGATTATAGATTAAATAACATTTTTATGACAAATTAGCATCAGTTTAAAATGTATTGTATATCATAGAGAATAGCACATAATTCATTGTAGTATATAATTTTGTGTTCTTTTCTTTAATAATAACTGAATATTTTGAACATTAGAATACAATTTGGGTACTTGATAAGTTTAGACATACAGGATCTCCAAGATTTTAAAATAGGTTTTCACAGAAATAATGATACATTATAACTCAGTTGTCAATTACAGTTTCATCTATTAATTTATGATCAACATATTTATGTGAAGGTCAATGAGACTGAACAGCTGGTACTAATACATGTTATTGTACTCAAACTTGAAATCTATTGTTTAGACACCGTTGATTTTAACCAGTAGGCCATTACTTCATATAGTTTAAGGAGGCTTTTTTAAAGAAAAACAGAGGCCTAGAAATGTAATTGTAAGTGAAATGAATCATATATCCTCGTTTTTCGTATTTTAACAAATGAATCAGAGACTGCTTTGTCCATTAATTCACGTTATTTTCAACGGTTTTTGTTAAACTCAACAATTTGTTATCGATTATTCACCAAAAGTTTCCAAAGGTTGCTGTATTGAGCCAAAATACTCATCCTTATCTGTTTTAATTTTAAAAAAATCAATAACTACCTTTTTTATCTTGTAACTGATGAGAATTTGTGGCCATTGGAAGTTAACCGACTCTTATAACCAAGTAGCCACCTCTGAATGACAAACAGAAAATAAAGGAAATTAAATAACTAATTCTATGTGGTGTAGAAAACTGTAGTAGTGTGTATATCAGATTTAATCTGAAATCGAATCGATGATAATATTAAAGTATTTCAGCACTGTCCATGGTAAAACATCGATTCAACGAGTGACATAAGACTGTTGTAAAAAGAATTTCGAAAAATTACATAGAATTTCATGATTTAGAGTATTATATTTTTCAAATCGTTATCAATAAACTGTATTCAGATATCTTGTGAGCTCAGTAAATCCAATGCCGCCAAAATCCTGCTTTCTAGATTTATTAAAACCTGATTTTCAGCATTAGTTATAGTGCAAGCTAATGCTCTCCACTATGACACAACAATTTTAACTACATTCTATTGAGTTTTGTTTTGCAGTGCTTTCAAGTGTTACTCGAAACTTGAAACTTTACATTTTAATAATCAATAATTCGTTGCTGCTCTGTTCTCGTTTTCAATTCTTCTCTATAATATGATTTTGATTTTTTGTTGTTGAAAAGATCCTATTTTGCATATCAAAATAAAGAGGCTATTAGTTGTTCTAGCTATAAAAATGAATAAACCATGTACACTAGTACTTCTATGATTCCATTTCAACTAATCAATAAGACGACTTTTCTTTTTAACACGAATCATTACCTTTTTTATCATCTTTAATGATTTCTAGCTGCAGTCCCTGTTGGTAAATACTTTTTTGGAAAATATCTATGATCTGATGTTACATGTACCGTGTAACGAATCGTTTTTTTTCCTCAGTCAGTATCAAAATAATGAGATTTTGTATAGGTTACTAATATTTCAAGAAGATAATGTGACAATCTGAAAACTTAGTGAAAAATTACTTATAGTATTATTCTGCACAAGTTTTCTTTCTACTACCACGCCAGTTGCGTTTTACTAAATGTATGACCTATATTTGGTTAACATGAAGTCAGATAAGTACATAAAAGAATTTAGGTTAAGATGACAGGTTTTCAAACATATCTATATGATCAACGTTCTTTTTAAAAAAAATTTAATTGTTCCAGTTGAATGGTGTAAATGAACTAAGTAGTTTTCTAGTTATATCCTTTTTCTATGTCAACAAAACTAACTGTGAATGGATAACACAGAGAAAAATGTGAAAATTTGACAAAATATCATAATATCTCCTAGTTGATATCCATTTCATCAGTTTGAAAGTTAACTATGTAAAAATTGAACTGAATGAAGACAATTTAGTACAAAAAGTTAACCTGTGATTAGGATAGAAAACTGAAAAAATAACTACGATTATTATTGGCTACTAATTGTTCTATTTGGTTAGTTCAATCCTACATTTCTCATCAGTCAAAGTTAATACTTCAAAAGCTTAAAGGTGTTTTAACAACTTATAACAAATGATTATATATCTTACACTAATATCACATTGATTGAATACATATGTTCATGCAAATCCACACTGAAATGGCACTAAGTGAATGTCACATAAATTCCTTTAGTTAATGGTTTCAAGTCTGGCTTCCAACAACAATAACGTCACATTTCCTACTCAATAATACTCATACTAGCCTATCTTAAATATGCTTGTTGGCATAGTTATTATCGCTTTTCAGTAAAAAAGTAGATTTTCCACAGTCTGTCTACTATCCCAGTAGTGTTTCTGATTGAAACTGTTCTCCATAAAATCATGATTTTTAGATAAGCCAATGACTGATTTTCAACTTGAATGGCACGATGCGCTTAATTGGACATTGTTGAGAACATTGCTGATCAGATTGCTTCTATGATAATCATTCGTCATATGATTACACTACTGTTATTACGGTTTTGATTCGTTTACTAATAAATTTATTGTTTTAAGTCCACAGAGAAGTATAAATGACAACAAAATCGATCTGAGAAACTTGAGTTTTCTTCTTGGATATAGGATAGTTATTTCCTTCAGTTGTTCTTGAGTTTTCATTGATTACCTGACAAGAACAGAAGCTTGGTAAACTGATAATCCTTGAGGTATGAATTTGAAAGATTAAATCAACTCTTATTAGTATTACAAATACACGTTTCAAATATATTACAGTAGTTTTACTCCCTCTTTTTTCTGAGTTTCTTTCATTATTGCAAACTTACATTAATTTTATATTCTTGCTCTTACTTAAATATCATTTGAATTCGGTTTATCATAAGAATGTTTCGACAATATTCTTGATAGACATTACGCAACCTGTCAAAAGTTGATCGATATGTCTCAATTCTTTTACAAATAAACACTTTGATTAATATTATCTAAAAGAATTTACCACTTATGTGTAACATTTAACAACTATAACTAATTTTGTGAATGGAACAATTTTTGATTTCACCTTAGTAGTAACATATTCTTCACTTAGATAAAATGTCTGATGACTTATTTGTGAGTCTTTATTTAAATGCATGCAACTACCAATTCCTCTAAACAACCTATCAAATAACGGTAACCTCACAGAGATTAATGTGATTTTTTATATTAAATATAACGTTTTACAACATTGAAGTGGACTGAAATTAAAAGGATATAATTCTTGTTAAGATTTCAGAATGAGTCAGCAAGACTTTAAATTTAATGTTACGCGAAAGACACTGTTTCTTTTTCTGCGAAAATTTAGCATAACATTAGATTCATGCTTACAGTACATTCTCATATGATGTTCTAGTTTCTTTATTCATCTAGATCGAGTTTACTGAAATAGCATTCCTACCAAAGTCTGTTTGTGGAAAATCAACATTTAATAAAACACTTAATAATCACAGGAATCTCATGATATAGAATTTATTTTTGTCATTATGATTTACAGGAATAAAGTGATTCATTGTGATTTGAAACCGGAAAACATTTTATTACGACGTCCAGGAAAAAGCAAAATCAAAGTAATCGATTTTGGATCAAGTTGTTATATTAATGAGTGTCCATATAACTACATACAGTCACGCTTTTATCGTGCACCTGAAATCATTCTTGGCTTACCATATGGTACTCCGATTGATATGTGGAGCTTAGGATGCATTCTAGCTGAATTTATAACTGGTAAGTTACATTTAATTGAATATGATTATAAGTCTAAACTATTCTTACAGATTATTCAACCTAGCGCTATCAATTTACATTTTTTTACCGTGAAACATTGATCTTAATGCTTTAATAATTATTTTGTTTTGTAACACTAAAAATTCAGAGTTATTACCATACATACCATTGTTTTATACTTTACACAGTTTCGACAGTTAACAAGTCGTACATTTTACACTTGTCAACGATAAGAAACTGGAGATCGAGTAGGGATGTGACTTACATCCTGGGAAGGCATTTCGGTCTCAAATTTGACAAACATTTTGTCTTACCTTTAAATAACACCCGAACTCAACCACTTGGCTATCAGCTTCCTTAGTTATGGTACATAATACTTATCACTGGAATGTAAGCACTCCATAGGTGTTTGATTAAATCTGGAGCTAAATTCATTTACTATAGTAAGCCAAAACATCTTAGGTATTCACTTATCTCTGTAAAGGTATGGGTGTTGAAGGGTTGCAGTGGGTTGCAGGCGAACTTAATTCATACTCAGTCTGGACTACAGCAGCTTGTATCCTACAAGCTATCATTGTGTTAATTAAGACGGATTGTGGAATTAGTATAACCCATCGGTACTATCAGTCATGCTTGCTGACCTTGAAGAGGCCAAAAATGTAGATAAACATTCATTTCATGATATGATTACGCGAAGTAAAGGATAATGGTTAAATAAGCGTCTGCTGATTTGACTCTCTATACAAGATCCTGATGTAGCTTGAGAACTTCTCAGACATGACACTGGAAAGATACTTAGGTGGTTAAAATATATTCTTCATTATCAGTAGGATCCGATATCCTAAGTGGATGAAATCGCGTCTGTATAATTACGTGATCTTTATCTGTTATTATTCACCATTATCGCTTTTTAAATGACTTTTGTATTACATTTCTTTGTAATATTGTCATTTCATTTGATAAAACTCATCTGCTGACATTTATTATACCGTGAGTTATAAGTGGATAGTTCAGTTTTTGAAGTATCATATCAGTTTTTCCCATAGTCTATCAAAACGTTTTTAGGAATTTATTTTACACCTCCGTAAATACTCAAGTCGGAATGATCCAGTAACCAATAAGACGAAAACACTTCAAGTTAACCAGATATGTTTATTAGCGGTTCTGTTTTGTTCGCGTACTTGAAGTAATTTTCAAATCCATGGTTACCGTTTACCATAAATGTGAAGACAGTTCTTAACATACAATTTCTTGGTTCAAACAGCGTTCTTCACAAAAGATCTTTGGTATCAGTGATATCTCTAAACTATTCGGCTAAAAAGAGTAAACTTCATAGAAAATAAAACGTCTTTAGTTATTAAATTTGGGTATATATAGCACTTTTCTCATAAGTCGAAATCAGGTTAAAACATTACTCAATACATACTATTCCCAGTTAGCATATTTGGAAGGCAAAATTCTTCTGTTTTGAAAACAATCAATAAGTTACACCTGACTGAATGAATTCGAGTTAGGTATGGGTTTGATGGCTGAAAGCATGTTTAGAAACTACAGAGTAAAACATTTCCGCTAAACGAGCTTGGGAACGTTCATCAGTGACTTCGATTTGTTCTACCTACTACACAGTTACTTCCGAAAGCATGCCATTAATAATATTAGGTTTGTGTGAAGTTCAGAATGTGAAGTTTAGGATAGACATCGGAGTTATTTAGCACATAATTAGTTTAATTCTAACTTTGATAGATACCTGAATTAGCAAAATGCAATACCTCATCACATAGTCCATGTGTAACGTAACCACCATTGTTCTAATATGTTTCTGTTACGAATGTGATCTATTCCAAAGATTCCACTCCCACTTACCTTGTTTTGTTTGATGTGTACATAAGTCCATATCTCTTCCGCTTTAAAAATGTGGATTTTGAGAAAGTAGTTTATACCACATAATGAATTCAGCCGATACCTACTGAAAATTAAAGTCATGTTTGTAACTCTTCAAAAGGCTGTAACGATAACCCAATCATAGATTGACCCCTTGACCTTCAAGGATCAAAACCAGTGAGTTCTAGCCAAATCATTGAACTAGAGTCTACTAGCCCTCATTTTTGAAATCAATCGGTTCAGGGTGTTCCATTACTTCTATCCATTTTCACTGATGATACCTGTCCAACTTCCGAGCTAACTGGGATCCATTATTCACGGCCTTTCAATCGATCGTCATGGTTTTATTTATATCAAAATTGAGTAGAAGTGAGAAAGATGGTTAGGTCGGAAGTAAAATGTTAACTCAGTATTTTGTAACAGCTGCAACTAGCATGATCTATATTGACAAAAAAATCATCAATAATCTTGAAACTGTGAATCCACATTATTACCACATAGCAGATTGAATTCTATACCAAGTAAGAAATGTGATTCCTAGAAAGTTTTCTGTGATATTTCTAACAAAATTTCCCAAACAAAACGGTGAAATGTTAAACAATCTGTATCATCTACAATAATGAGTACAATATTTATTTATTTAGATAGATCATTTCTTAGGACAAAGTTTAGGTTGTTAATTTTTGGTGCATATTTCATAAAATCAATCATCGTGTGACCTGATGTAGAAAGAAACCTTTTTACACACATTATAACTTACTATAAAAAAAGATACACAATATATGCTTATTAATATTTTCAATTTTAGATGACTTGGTAAAATTTAAAAAAATGGAATCTAAATTCAACCTTAAAAATATGAGATGATTTGAATAATGTCTGATTTATGCATATTTTTTAAATCCAAAACAGTGTTTTATGGTGAATGACTTCCAAAACTTGTACACTTTAGTTATAAGTAAAACAGACAGAAATAAAATTTATGTCAGTGAAATGAATGCAATACGTATTCATTTCATTCGCGTGAATCTGTAAGTATCAGTCGTTCACAGACGCTACGGAACACTATTGAAAAATCAGTTGAGTGGAACTCGTCACTATACATCAACTCAATTGATTATGAGAAAACGTTTGACGGTGTGGAGAGAAGAACATTATGAAAACTACTTCGACACTATGGAGTACCTGAGAAGATTGTCAACATAATCCGGAATTTATACGACAGACCACAGTGCAAAGTGGTGCATGGAGGACAGCTGACAGATACATTCCAAGTAAAGACCGGAGTCAGACAAGGCTGCCTACTCTCCCCTTTCCTATTTCTTCTGGTGGTTGATTGGATTATGAAGATCTCTACATCTAAAGGAAAGCACAGAATACAATGGATAGCTCAGAATTAGTCAGACGATTTGCACTTCGCAGATGACCTAGCCCTCCTATCCCATACACACGAACAAATGCAGATGAAGACAACTAGTGTACCAGCAGCCTCTGCATCATTAGGCCTCAACATACACAAACGAAAGAGCAAGATCCTCAATTACAACACAGAGAATACCAACCCAGTCACATTTGACGGCGAAACTCTGGATGATGTGGAATCTTTCACGTACCTGGGAAGCGTCATCGATGAACAAGGAGGATTGGATACAGACGTAAAGGAGAGGGTTGGCAGAGCAAAGGACGCGTTCCTACAATCGAAGAGCATATTGAACTCAAAACAACTGTCAAGCAGTGTCAATGTCAGAATCTTTAATACGAACGTCAAGATGGTTCTAATGTATGGAGCTGAATCTTGGAGAACTACTACAACCATCATCAAGAAGGTGCAAGTATTTATAAATAGTTGTCTACACAACATAATCGATGTTCATTGGTCGGATACCATCAACAACAGGATACTGTGTTAGAGGACTAACCAACTCCCAGCTGAAGAGGAAATTAGAAAAAGATGTTGGAAGTGGATAAGACATACAATTCGGAAATCATCAAACTGCATCACGAGACTAGCCATAACTTGGAATGCTGAAGGAACACGGAAAGGAGGGAGGCTGAAGAACAAATTACGCTGAGAATCGGAAGCAGACATGAAATGGATGAGTAACAACTGGAAACAGCTGGAAGGGATTGCCCAGGATAGGGTTGGATAGAGAGTGTTGGTGAGCAGCCTATGTTCTTCTATGAGAGGTAACAGGCATAATTAGGTCATAATTACGATCAATAAAGCTTGATTCACAAAGTCATATACTGAACTGCTTCCTGGTTTCCAGATGCTATCTAAACTTGATGTCAATTCATGTGGTAATTGTTCTTCAACAAACAACTACACGTACAATATAGAAAACTCTGTTACTATTTGTCTACCTTTTTAGAGGTTTGTTGGCACCGTCAGTTATTTATGACAGTACAAAAAAGAGTGTTTTGAAATCATTACCAATGTGAAATATTGAACTTATAACCTTTATTTTAATAAATAATAAGGTTTAAACATATTTTGATTAACGAGGCCGTATACATTGTTGGATTTGTTAGGCTTAAAAAATTTATTATTAATAATGGAAAGGCATTCAGAGAGATGCAAAATAATTTCATTCAACTCTAAAGGTTTTCGCTTTCTTTGACAAACATGGAATAGTAAACGAACTACATTTGAAATTCATTTAAGCGCAGAATTTATTTGAAGAAAATAATTTTGTAGACATGTATTTGTTAAAGTGATAAACTTCTCTAGCCACTGATTATGTATTTTGCTGGCTAATAGATATTTACTGTTAATTAACCATCTCGACTTAAATCTTAGATCACCCATGTAATAACAGTGTCTTTTGATTGTCTAAGAGTATCCACAAGACTAAGTGATATGTTTTGTCTTTTATATGTACTTCTAGTTCTAATAAAATATTAAAACTTTTAACATGATATTGTTCATAAAAAACACCTTACCCTCTGAGATCTTTCAAACATAATTCACTCAATACTTTGTCATGTATTCTTGAACGTCCAAAATGTATAGTGATGAAAGGTTTGGTAATGTTTCGACGATTCAAATTGACATAATTTTCACTAGACTTTTCACAAAGAACTTTTAAGTCAGTGAAACTATAGTGTCGGTCATTATGTTAAGCCCATATAGCTTATTCTAGCTTCTGGACAGGTCAATCTATTCATCCTTCTTGAGTCACGCTTTGACCCTGTTATTTATTCGCTTATCAACCTTGATTGTTTTTATATGAGCGCGTGTGTGACTATAAATATTGATTAACGCTTGATTAAATGGAGTTGTCTCACACGCCTCCACTGCACGTCATTTCTCTTCGCTCCGTTTTTCTGATTGTCTGTCCAGATCAATATGTACAAAATATATATATTTAAAACTTCATTCTCGTATTTGACTTATTTGATTCCGTTATACAGTAACGCGATTTAAACCGATGATTGTATACGAGGATTGACAATATGTATATTTCAATGACAATCAATCATACGATCTAATTGGAGTCAGATCCAGGGCCACTAAAGTGATGAGCCCAACATCGTCCGATCTAATTGACTTCAGAATGAAGGGCCCCACTAAAATGGTGTGATAGGAACGCGCAGCCTTCTAATCTAGAGTCAGATATGGGGCCACTAAAAAAATCATAACCATATCTAATGGATATTAATTTGATATTAGTTGTAATTACGATAAGTTCAATTGTTATAGCATCTGAATTAAGTGTTAGTGTATATAAATGAAAACTCATTTTATTCAAGCTTTATCTTCACCGTTTAATTTTCAAAAGTAGATTTATACATTTATATATTTTTGTCTGAAAAATGGGAACATTTAGCAAACAAAAAATAACTGAATTACTTTTGTTTTGAAAATTATTTTATTAGATTACTTCATGGTGTAGGGCTTTTTTTCATCTTGTGATGCTTTACAAATCATTGACATTTACAAACGTTATCATTATTATTACTATTTGTATTATCATAGTCACTAATCATGATGCTGCCTAAATTTAGAAAGAGCAAAAGATATAACATAGGAAAATACTTACAAATTATATACGAAATTTCATATCTTGATAATGTACACGTGAATATGTTTACATTAAGAATAAGCTGAATTTTCTTACCTAAAAGACAGTGAATATATCACTGTCCTTTATATTATTTTATGTTTATTGTATTAAACGTTACTTGTTAACCTATTAGTTTGTACAGATTATTACATAATAGTGTAAGTTAAAAGATTTATGAAATAGGAATGATCAAGTTTTCAATACTTATCGAATGACTTGTTGATTTAAGTATATTAAGAATTGTTTGCTTAATCACACCTAAAACATAGCTATTCAAGTTCAATCACTGTAAGCAGTTAATGAAAAGCAACTAACCTTTTATTGTACTGACAGGTTTCAAACAAAACAAAAAAGTATGATTTCTTATTTTCTTAGTTATCAAAACAATCATAGGGTTATAAGCGGAAAGAAATGATAAATTAATGTGTTACATTTCAATCAACATTGTAAATTACGTATAAGAACTTGAAAAAGATTCGTAATGATACATAATCCATCTTAAATACCAATTTATTATCCACTCGAGTAAATTATTCTATTAAACTTAAATTGTTAAGTTTGTTACGAGTCATTCAGTCAGTCAGTCAGTTACAACGTACGATCAGGCATATACATGCATTGGTCCAAGTTGCTACACCTTATTAGCACAGCAAGACGAACACCGGATTCATAGAAGCAATTAACTCAATGGTGTAATATATAAAGGAAAGATTTTATGTAAGGATATAGTCATTAATATTTATTAAATGTTCATGGTCAACTGTTAACTTGTATATCAATTACATAAATTTTAACTTATTCAGTCAAAATGCATAACATCTTATTTAATATTCCGTTTTTATCTATATCTCAACTCCGAGATTAACTAGAGAAACTATTCGGTAAAAATTAAACCAACAACTGAATTTTTTCATTGTTGTACTATATAAATTATATTGCTGAATTGTAAATGGTAATGGTATAATAAATCATTAAAAAAATAGATATCTTAAATACTAGTTCAAACAAGTTTCTTAAATCATCTTTATCTTCATATTTTGTACTATAGATCAACATTTCCTTAACAAGATATTTATTGTAAGTTACGTGAGATTACTATGAAATTCATAAATGAAACCAACTGTATGATATTGACACTTAAATTTTCTTTTGCTATTAGAATTCATTTTGACTATTAAAATCTGGTTAGCATGCTATGAAACACGTAAAACAAAGATAACATCATAGTACAGAAACTTTAAAAAAAGGTTAAATTTGAGTTCAAAATGACCAATAATAGGAAAGTGAGAAATAAATTATTCAAATCAGTTTATCATGGAAAAGTATCTAAGAATCCATACTTTAATAAAGAAAAATAACTATATAAGACTGTTTATTTGTTAATATATTATGACATTATTAAGAAAAAATGAAATCGCCAATGGATTTCTACTGACGTAGGATAGAAACTCCTCCCTAGTAGGCGATCTATGCTCCTCGACGAAGGCTAACACGCGTAAGTAATTTAATACGCATTAAATAACCACATGAAACTTTGAGCGTTACATTATATCAATGTAGCATAGCTGAAGCACCGCTCGATTAGATGGATTGGACAGTTACAGGATTTTAACCAAAAGGGAATTATAATCTTTTATGTGACATTACTTGTCATGCATGTTTCAATGGTAAAGGTATGTAATAAGTTTGACTTGACTGTATTATTCTCTACATTTCTGAAATTAACTACTAATTAGAAGATAGTACAGGTTAATTCTGACCTAAAGATGGTTCCGCCTATTATAAAATGGAAATACTTATTTCTATTCCCCATAGTTAACCTATCAAAACGCCGAAGATGTGTTGCAATCCAGGATAACAGAACTGAAAACTGGCTTTTTTTTCTCTCCAGATGTACATATAACTACTTGATATTTCAACAGTTACAATCGGAATACTACGCTATTCATTTAAATTTTACTGAAATTATCACATCAAAACTACCCTTAGTTTTCACATTCAAAGTAAAAAGTTTTCCAAATGAACCATTATCAATATGGAACGATACTGCTACAAATAATCTAAACTTAATCACAAAGGGATCCTAGTTTCTCAAAACACTCAGATCTCCAAATATAATGAAAAGTTTCTAAATACAAGAATATCATGGGTAACAAGGTGTAATAAAATAGTTTTCACTATTTAGTAATATGTACTAGGAAACTACTAGTGTTTTCATGAAACACTGCTGTCAGAAGGACAAGCATTTTCTTGTTGTATCGATATTCATCTTAAAAATATGTTCATTTTCCCTAATACCACTACGACTTTAAATATGTTTGGTAATCAAACTCCTTAACTTTTTGATTTATTATTCGTATTTTAAGGAGAACCATTGTTTCCAGGTGAAGATGCGTTCGACCAATTAGCTTGTATTATGGAAATCTTGGGGATACCGCCGATGCAAATGATTAAGAAAGGCAGTCAAAGTCATCATTATTTCAATAGTAATGGTCAACCTTTATATATGATTGAACAACAAAAACACACCTATGGAAATGAACAGTCAGATAATACAAAAGAAGCTTTAACCAATCTTAACAAATCTTTAAATTCTTCATCAACTAAACATAAACGTTCTGGTAGTGGTAAAAGTCAAAAGTTAAGAAAATCACCTGGCTCTATGACTTTAGTTGATGCCTTGACTAGTTCGAAAAACTCTTCCGTTTGCCTACCATCAAGCGATAAATCAAATATTGGACATAAAATTCCACAACCATTTGACCCAGATATGGTAGATTTTCTAGAACGTTGTTTAAAATGGAGTCCAGATGAAAGAATGAATCCAATTGAAGCATTGGATCATCCATGGATTAAAAAAATGTCATCACAGAGTTTTGGAAGAACAGATAGTTTTCTAACAACTTGTAATTCAAATGGTAATACAGATTCCAATTATTTATACAGTAATGATAATATATTTACTAATGGAACAACTAAACACGTATCTGATACAGAATTTGTTGCCAGTATTTTAGGCGTACGTACACGAAAACGTGATCCCAATTTACTGCACGTTTCCAGAAAGTCAGAAGCTCACAGTATAGTAAGTATTAGTTTTATTATTGTTTCGGGATGTTAGTGTGATTTATTCCAAGAGACCACTTATTTGATAAGCAAATTTATTTTATTGTCTTTATCCATAAATTAATCTTCCTTTTTCATTGTGCTCTTTTGTAAGCTATATTCTGGTCGAGAAAAGTCTTCCGATCCCTTAGTAATTCAGAAAAGATTGCTTGAGTGTGATATCTAGCTGATTGTCAAATACACCTTTATACACATTATTGTTCAGGACCAATAATTTTCATTTGAGATGTTTAATTTGAGAACGTTAAATTGGCACATAATTATTTATCTTGTTACTGATGGTCTGAACATATAGTTATTAGCGTTTGTGATTATAAAGTTAATCTATATTTGATAACATCATTAAGCGATTTGTTTAGGGATTGGATTTTCTGTCTAAAGTTTAAGCAAGTAAACTACGATCTTTTATCCTCTAATCTAGTAGACATATTTCACATGTGATCAACAAAATTCAATTCATATAAAGAAATGAATAAAATGACATTGATTATCATTCGGCAATCGATAGTTTTGTAGATAGAATTAAACCGATGATCTGTGACTAGTTACACAAATTATAACTTTTCAACGCATTCTGGGTTTTTTTCAAGAATGCAGAACAATCAAAGAATAAAGCACTTAATAATACAACTTTACTTAGATCTTAAATATCATTTCCTCATTTTTCGGCTGTTTAGTTTGAAGGACAACGCTCTAGTCTATAAGTCATAATGTATTTATTAAGATTTTGTGGAGCTGATAAGAGTCTTCTGCAAATAAATCTACTAACGAACCAAGAAATATCTTTGGCAGTAGTGGTTTTTGAATGAATTTTTAAAAATAATGTCTGATTATATTTCGCGTTGATCTCATGCCGATCTAACTGTCAAATATTTCAAAGGACAAAGGGTGTGATAAACAGTTTACAAACCTGTTCACTGTAGGATCACCTTTATACAAATTTTCTTTAAAACATAATTTAGTTCATGTACATGAACTATGGTTAGAAAAAAGTAATTAAGTGCTTACAATTACTAAAATTTTCTATTTCCATAGATACCTGACGATACCATGAGTCTGAATGAATCCTATCGTCGGTATTCCTACGACCAGAATAACAGCAGACTATCTAATTTGTTTGAACGATCAGTAACATGTACTTCTAATCCCAAATCTCGCAAAGAAATGTCTTCAGATGTATCAAGTCACCATACCTCAGAAAGTTACCACAACACAAAACAATATCGAAGTTTTTTAAATAACAGTCAGAGTGATGTTAGTAACAACATTAATGTGGACAATCGCAATCATAGTGTTTCTCCTCAAGATGACAATCGAAATCGCCGAATTCGTAATCGCCATCGTAGTCGTCGTCAAGATATTAACACTCATTCTGATCATATACAAGAAGAAGACAATCGCAGTCATTCCGACTCAGATCAGGTATTAGAAGAAGAACATGATTATACCACCAGTGGAGAAACGCCCTTGCTAAACATCTCAAGTATTTACCAAACAACCAAAGAAGAGAACGATCGTATTGAAGTAAGCGTTTGTGACATTGAACAAAGCAGTAGGAATTCAGGCTACTATGACAATGCTAGTAATCTTAATAGTAATTCGAAGACAACAGTGTGTAATGAAGAAAAGTTTATACTTGTCCCAAATTTGATCACGGGTGAACATGACATATAGTCTACATATTTTCTAGTATTTGTTTTATCTTTTGTGTATTTACAAAATCGAAAACGAGATCGATAAAAAAGAGATTCGGAGAGCTAACTCTTGTTCTCATTACATGAAACATACTACAACTGTTTTTACAACCTACTCATGACTAACTACAACATACAATTGATTTCAACTTATTTTTTAATTTAACTGGAAGAATATCATCAATTTTCGTAACTGTTTTATCCATAAACCTCCCTCAAACTTGTATTATCCCCACTACCTACTTCCTATAATAAAATATACATACCAACAACATGCTACCTGCAATGTGGAGTGAACAATCTACGTTGTTAATTTACGATTAAACATTCTTTCTTTAATCTTCCTTACAGACTGATTCAACTTATCCATATCAAGTCTTTCTTGGTTATGTACAATTAAGTACTAGGCTAAAAATAACTTAGAAAATAAAAGCTACCTTTTAATGTTCTACTTTTTTTAGAAAATATAAAAATGCATAGACATTTACCCACAAGTTAAAGCTGAACAAGTAATGAGTACATCACTGCATTCCGATTACCCGCACAATTTATGGCTATTATTAATGAAGATATATTGTGTGACTGGATAAAGTTTCCAAACGGCAGCACAACTGACCAGTGAATAAATTTATTTTATTACTAGTAACATGATACACTTAAATGGTGAAACTAATCAAAAAAAATAACCATTAATAAAAGCCGTTTCAAACATTTTTTTTCAAAAGAATCATTCAAATGATAGCGCAGTTTAAAACTTCAACTATGTAACATAAAATAGTATGACTTAAGTTTAGCAGTGGGTTAGTAAACTTATAAGAAATCGCTAACCTATCCTTTTCGGTTTACATTGTTTGCGTGACTAAATTTATGACTTTTTGTAGAAACATCCTTTCGACTGACTGTGATATTATTTTAAAATATCACTTCGATAAATCATGGTCAAACAATTATTTGAATTAAATGTTTGGAATAAAATTCATTCACTAAAGAAATCGACCAACCAAAACCAGCTGAAGATAAATCATAAGACAACAGCACTAATCAACCGACTGAATAAATTGAATTTTATATTTAGAATACTGGAACGTATTGATAAGATGATAAATAATTGTTGATAAAACTGAGGTCAGTTACACTCCCCCATTGTATCACTGTGAAAGTCCTCAATTTACCAATTATTTTCCTTTAATTGTTCGGATATAAACAAATTGCGTAGTTTGTTTTCCTTATGAATGTTTTTTTGACAAGACATTTTACTGCTACATTGATTCTCAGTTTACATTAAAGGACGTACATATAAATCCAATATTGTGGTGCATCTAAAGTGTATGTTACCATGACAACTTTCAAGCTTTTTATTAAATCAAAAGATCTGATGTTTAAATCAACTAATATTTATCTGATGTATGATGTGAATGGATTTTGAAGTTTAATAGAGACATTAGGAATTCTTATCATAATTCGGACGTTACTTTCGACTTGTTACACGGTAAGGTCAAATGTATTAGGAGTGAGCTAGGTAGCACACCTGATAAATATAAAAATGTATAAACTGATTCCCAGCCACCGATATTTACAAAGACAGCTAACGAATAATACTGAATAATTTTGGCGATGCTGCGCTTTTTATTATTTATTCACCCTGGTGTTTCCAGGACTAAACGATAAAAGCATTGAAGGTGTGAAATATAGAAGCCATTTAATTCCTTCGAAAAAACATATTATTGTTCTCTATGAATTTTTTATATAAATAAACGTGAATACTCTTCATAGTAAGCGATTTCTTATGAGTTTCTCACTTTTGTCAAAAAAATATTTCAAAATTCCACAAAATGATCATGCTCAAATCCTTGTATTAATACCAAAGTAAAGTAATAAAAATCAGCCCGTTAAACATGTACTTGAATTGAGATAATATCAACATACTTTATAGAATCACAAAGCCAGATGCGATTCACATATACAGTATTCACATTTGCAAATAGACATATGACTATTTACTGTTTGTCAATTCAAGAAGTTTTGTATGAAGTGGATCCACGTTATAAATAAAATAGATCTATTGAACACTTAAAACTGCACAAATCTATTATTGTTGTTATTGGCTTTATTCAGTATTATATTTTTGATACAACATAGAATTCTCAGCACAAAGTAATTCAACAAGTTTTCTTTTTCTTATTTCTTGATCGACCCTTGCAATAAATATTGAGTGATCACCAGTTAGATAATAGCAGTTCAGGAATCGACATCTGAATAATTTATATTCTTTAAGATGCATATATAACCAGCAACCACAATGTCTCTGATTGGGCTCTTTTGTAACTTGTACAGAGAGATGTAATATACTTTTCACAAACCCACCTTAATAGATTATGAGACTTATAGGCATGATCATGTGTTAAAACAAACAAAGAAAATATATAACTTGTTGAAATATCCATACGGCAGGAACAGGTAGCCCAGATATTCAAGCAGGCCGTCTTATTTGCTATCATATAATCTGTCGTAGATCCAAGGTAATTAAAATGAAGCTAAATCTTACCATTTAATTAATCCTTTACTAACATTTTGTTCTGTTGTCTCATCATTTTTTCCTTCAAAACACACATTTAGATGTGACTTACAAGAAAAGATTTAGTAAAAACAAAAAAATTCAACAGTATTGACAACATACACATAAAAACACTATGATATTTCGATTAAACACATGAGTATTCCTAGAAATAACACTTAAATCTGCTTTACAACTTTATTTAACACAAAATTAACCATAAGTGAATTATGAATTTTATATATTTTTTAATGTTTACATAAAAGATGATTATTTGATATTTGAATAAGAAAGAATATAGAAACAAATCCAGAGCACTCATTTTGTAATGATGATAAGATAGATCAAAGGAAGCAACAACGAAAAAAACTATTACGTAAGTAAAACACTGAAGTGTTGGATTATGTTAATGGATTTTCTATAGTTAAATATGTGAAACAATTATTAAGATCTTAAAAAATTACATAGTTTAATTCATGTATTACTGCTAATAGTAGTCTTAGTAGTAAATTATGAATACATTTAATGACGAGATTTTTATGTAAGTGAATAAAACCACATATACTCATAGGTATTTACTCATTAGTAATAGGTATAGTAATGGATTTTGTGAATGTCATGATCTGATATCTTGATATAGTTAGTAGACAGTAACTCATAGATGATACTTCTTTAGGATTAAACTGCATTAAAATTTATTTAAAATTGAAA